TCTATTCATTAAGAGAATGTAACTATATATCTATCCTAACCACTTTGAATACACAGATACAAAATAGGCATTCATCTGTATCCCCTTTTTTTGTTAAGTTCTGTTATTTGAGTATTATAGATGTGTAAACTCAGCAAAATATTCTAAAAGCCTAATAATGTTTTCTTACTGGCCAAAATAATATGTTATTAGGCCAGTATACACTGTATTCTCAGCACTGGGAAGGCTCAGCCTGGGCTACAAAGTGAGCTCAAGGGTAGCCTGAACTGCATAGTGAGACCTTGTGTCAAAAAGACAAAAAAATAAAAACAAAAAGAGCAAAGGCACATGGGTGAAGTCTGGGGGAAACCAGGCACAAACTTCCAGAGTCCTCTTCATCTGGGTCACATAGGTTGCATGTAATTCCTCCAGCAATGTGTTGTGGCCGCACATGTAAAATGTGGCCCACAAGGAAAGCTCGTTAAAGTCTCAGTACCCAGGGTTTTTATTGGGGGTTGATTGGTCACACAGGCACCCTCAGTGTAGCACATCAAATTCTGGAAAGCAGGTGTAATATACAGTCTATTATTATTATTTTTTTAATCTTTTTGAGATAGGGTCTTGCTATGCAGTTCAAACTGACCTTGAGCTCACTTTGCTTTGTAGGCTGGTCTTGAACTTGCAGCGATCTTCGAGCCTCAGCCTGAGTGCTGGTATTACAGGTGTTCATCAGCACACCCGGCCCTACTTTGTACAAATAGTTTAGTCATGCCCCTCTCATCAGTTCTGGGCATGATAGGAACTCTCCTGATATCTAAACTCCCAAACCCAGCCAGGGCCCACTTTGCACAGGCCTATCTATGGAAAAAAAACCTCAGGCTTGTTAGATAATCTTCTTTTTATAAATTCAGTAAAGTGAAAATTATGATGGAACCTTCCATGTAATGCCATAGGATTGCTGAAAATAATAAACACAGACAAATGCTTGGAAGAACTTTTGTGATATGAAGACCTAAGCACTACTAAAGGGGCAGTTTTGGTCTTTTCAGGTGTGGTCAGTGGGTTTTGCCTTGTTCTTTCCTTCTATTTCTCAGGTCCTCACAGATACTCCTTTCCATAACCCATAGCTGTTGCCTTGTGCTGTCCTTGCCTGATGCTGAGCAGTGCAGAAGACATTAGAGATGAATTAGACTCAGGCCAGGTCCTCTGGTCCTGCCTGTCAGTGATGTGACTAGGGCACTTTTCTGCTGCTGTTTTTTTTTTTTTCTTCCAGTTTCTTCTCTCTAGAGATGAGTGCTTGCAGGTGGCCAGTACCCACTGTATAACTTCAGTGCTGGTCCACTCCCCAGGGAAGCATGCCTCGGCTTTCATCCATGCTGACATCCCAGGTAGGGGGGCCCTCTGACCTTCTTTTCAGAGGACTACAGAGTTCCGACAGGATTCGAGAGGGGTCACAGCAGTAGCAGTAGCCCTATCTGGGAACCTTTGATAAGTCACACCGAAGGGGCCTGAGGAGATAGCTCAGCAGTCTAAGCGTCTGCCTGGCAAGTGCAAGACCCAGGGTTCCATCCCCGGTATCGCATGCGGTGCCACTGTGCCGCCGTGCTGGTCACTGAAACCGAGCATCGTGGTGCATGCCTGTAATCCCAGTGCTGGGGAGGCTGAGACAGGAGTATCACTATGAGTATGAGCTGTGTATCAAGACCCTGTATGAAGAAAGCTTTGTAATCCTTTGGTTACCGATTTCTTGTATGACTCTGAACAATTGTTTTTACTGATCTTTGTCATTTTTTTTTTTTTTTTACCTTCCAGGAGTACAATCTGAGTGTGGGTTAGGGGGAAGGTCTGCAGACTAAGAAGGCAAAAGAAACTTTCCCCAAGGCCTGTTAGGAACTGGGAAATACAGCCTGAGATTCTTGTATAAACTCCCAGTGATCTCAGTGATCCTCCTGCCTTAGCCTCCTGAGTCCTGGGATTGCAGGTGTGCACCACTATGCTAGGCTTTGTTTTTTTTTTTTTCTTTTCTTTTTCTGTGGTGCTGGGATCAAATCCATTTCCTATGCTTGCTTCCAGAGCACATATACTAAACACTCAGGACCTTGCTCATGTTAAGCACTCTGCCCCACTGATCTATATCTCTAGCCCATCTTTGTTATTTTACAGATAAAAAAATAAATTTTTTGAGTGAATACACAAAATCATTATGTACATGGAGGCAATTTATCTACAAGCCTAATATAATTATATACCAAATTTTCTATGGGAGATATGGGCAATATGGAGTTTTGAGAGGAACAACTGATTCAAATCTATAAGGCTAGTCATTGGCAGAGATGAAATGTAAAATCATGTCTCTCCAACTCTAAAAACATTTTTCTGCATCATTCTGTTGCCTTTCTGAGAATTAGATATAATTTTCAAACCTAATTCTGCTAGAAAACTGCCTCTCTGGGCATGTTTCTTCATCTGCTAAAAAGAATTTAGAGCAGACAGAAGATTTCCCAGGTTTATCTGTGAATCAATGACCATGTTGGATGGAGAAACTGTGAATAGAAGTATCAGGAGTAAGATGCTTAAAAAAAAAAAAATAAAGGAGTAAGGTGCTCAAAAACCTAAAGTCCTTACATCAAACAAAGGACCATGACCTCAGAGCTACCGTTTTCTTCCCCTTTTGCCCACCAGAGTTCGTCTTTGAGCATCTTTCCTCTTCCAGTGAAGTGCTCGTCTGGTCTAGCTACAACTGCTTGATACTCCTGGTGGAAGAACCTCTCTTCTTTTCCAAGTGCCACACTGTATATGGTTGGTAGTCCCGCTCCTGTGCGTGCTCTGGGTCAGGTGGAGAAGTTAGAAATTGGGTGGCAGCAACAGTGATGGGGCTGGCCTCTGCTTTGAGGGGGCATGCTGGGTCTGGACATTCCCATTAGTCAAGACTCATTACCAGCCTATTGTGTCTCTTTATGGTAGCCTACCCTACACTGGAGGGTATATTATTTTTTATTTGTTTTTCCCTTTTTCCTGCTTTTACTTGGCCCAAATTCACTGCAGAGCCTGTTTGTTCCTACTCTTAAGAAGTGTGAACTTTTGCCATCATTAAAAAAAAAGACTCATTACCAAATTCCATATGTAAGCACTCATATCAAATGGCATGGCTGTCACTGATTAGCAGAAATATGTGGACTTAGACTCTTCAGGAAGAAAAGGACATTATTTTATTTTATTCATTTTTTTATGCATTTAGTACAAGGTCTATAAGGTCTCACTACGCAGCTTGGACTTGTAGTGATCCTCCTGTTTTCAGCCTTCTAAGTGCTGGGATTACAGGCATGCGCCACCATGCCCAGTCTCAATCTATCTCAGCTTGCCTCCAGGGGCCAGGCTGGCATGGCATACCAGGGATTGAACCCAGGTCCCTAAGCAGGTTCTTTAATCTGCTGAGCTATCTGGCCGGCCCTTTTATTTTATTTTTATTATTATTTTTAATATATTTGGTTGTTGCAGGGTCTCACTATGCAGCTTAGACTTGTGGTGATCCTCCTGTTTTCAGCCACCCCAGCGCTGGGATTATAGGCATGCGCTACCACGGCCTGGCCTCTGGCCAGCTCAGTGTGCTGTGGGGGTGGTGCTTGCAAGACATGTGGTGGAGATGGAGCAGCGGTCCTTGTGCTTACTAAGCTTGCCTAAGCAAGCACTTTAGTCCGATGAGCTGTCTCACCACTCGAAAAGATCATTCTTAATAGCTGCTTAATGATTTCCTGTTGTGCAGAAAGGGCAACTCTAATCAGTGCCGTATGATCTTGCTTTTAGTCTTACCAGTTTCAGATATATATATATATATATATATATATATATATATAATTAATCCCTAAAATTTGATAATTTATCCTTTCAAAGTTTGTTTTCTTTTTCTTTGTCTTTTTTAAGACAGGGTCTCACTATGCAATTTGGGCTGGGCTTGAGCTCAATTTATGGCTCTGGCTGGTCTTGAACTTGTAACCATCTTCCTGCCTTAGCCTCCAGAATGCAGGGATTACAGGAGTGCACCTCCACACCCAGAAAACCTTTCAGCGTTTTTTGAAGCTGGGCATGGTGACACATATTTTCTTTTTAATCGAGATTTATTTATTTATTTATTTATTTTTTATGGTCAGCTCAGCCCACCTTGGGGGCAGGGCTGGCATGGCATGTGGTGCTGGGGATCGAACCAAGGTCCCTGCATACTTGCTTAAGCTTGCCTAAGCAGGCGCTTTAGACCACTGAGCTATCTCGCCAGCCCAGTAATATATATTTTCAACATTAGCGTTCTGGGAGTCAGAGGCAGGAAGATTGTAAGATCGAGTCTAGCCTGGGGAACATAGTAAGAACTTTTCTAAAGAAAAAAAAAAAAATTGTTGGGGATGTATCTCAGTGTGAAAGCCTTGGATTCAGTTACCAGTACCTCATTTGTGGTGTGTCATCCTGAGATAGGAATCGAGGCAGTGGTGAGGAGCCTTGAGGGAAGCCTGAAGATGACCAACACAGAGCTGCACAAGCAGGGTCTGCTCCTCTTTGCTGAGATCCTGACCCGGTAAGCAAAGTGACAGAGCGCCAGGCCCACTAGGGCCAGACTGGAGAAGGAAAAGTGGGCTTTAACTCCAATGGTAGGGGCTCACCCGCTTGCTTCTCATCTGTTATTTCCCAGGCAGCCAGAGGAGATTCGCTTGTTCACAAGCTCAGCCATGTGCAGAGATGCTGCCCGCGCCCTCCAGGAGGCAGTGAGCAGCCCTGTGCTGGAGGTAGCCGCTGAGGCAGTGAAGGCTACAGCTGCTTTTCTGAGGTAGGAGACCCCAGCAGGCTGAACTTTCTTCACTGTGTGTACCTGAGGGGCATTTTCTTCCCCCCTGCTTTTTTTTTTTTTTTTTTTGACATTTTCTTGAAGAATATCTTTTCTCTACTGTATTTACGCTGTTCTTTTTTTAAATTAATACATTTTTATTAGTACATATTAGTTATATAGACTAGTGAGTTTTGTTTTGGCACATCCATACCTTGTTCTCTCTGGAACTGCCATTTATGAGTTGGGCTTCCTAGATTGGCTATCCAATTTTTGTTTTCTAGCCATTTTTTTCATCTGTTTGTCACTATGTACTAACTTCTGTGAGATTTTCTTAACTTTGTCTCTCAACCCTACTGTTGAAGGTTTTACATCTGCTTTCATATTTTAATTTGGAAGAGCTCCTTCCAAGTTTGTGATGTTTGTTTTTATGACATTTTGTTCTGTATTTATGGATGTAATTTTCATGGCTATAATTTTTTATCTTTCTGAGGGGAATTTTACTGAAGTATTCATTTTTCTTCATAGTTTCCTTTTAGTATTTTTGTCTCTTTCATTTGGGAAGCTTTTCTCAGATGCCTAGTGATCTTTATCTTTTTATACTTAAGGATGAGACACTAAAAAGCTCACAGGAAGTCTTTTGCATGGAGTTTGTCAGCTGTTGACAAAATAGCTGAGAAAATTTGTACTTATTTTGTTACCTTCTGGTTTCAACTTTTGTGTCCTATTTTTTAATTTTGTGTTTCTAACAAAGTAACTTACGCAAATAATAAAAAACATAATAGAACAGAGGGTATACAGATAATGAAAAACAAATAGAACAGAGTCTAACAAATTAATATATTAAAAAAAATAAAAAATAAGGGCCGGCCAGATAGCTCAGCTGACTAAAGCATCTGCTTAGGCAGATGCAGGGGCTGGGATTTGATCCCTGGTGTGCCATGTTGGCCCCGCCCTGGGAGCATGCTGAGATGGTGATTGAAATTGGGCATGGCGGCGCACGCCTGTAATCCCAGAGCTTGGGAGGTTGAAAACAGAAGAATCACTACGAGTCTGATCTATGTAGTAAGACCCTGTAGACCCTGCAGACCCTGTAGTAAAATACACAAAAAATAAAGAAATTAAAAAAGCCAAAAAATAAACAAAAAATAGAGGGTTTATATGAAAAGGTATAGCCCTCTAACCCTGTTTCTGTTTCTTTCTTTTTTAATTTATGTATTCTTTACAGGGTCTCACTACACAGCTCAGGCTTGTAGTTGTCCTCCCATTTGCAGCCTCCCCAGTGCTGGGATTACAGGCATGCGCCATCACTCCTGGTCTCGGTGGTGGCTCAGCAGGCCCAGGGCGGGGGATGGTGTGGCATGTGGTGCCAGGGATTGAACTCTGGTCCACTTAGTCCACTGAGCTATCTTGCCAGCCCCCATTTCTGTTTTGTTCTGATGATTACCTCCCTAAGTCTAAATAATATATTTATAATACCTTTTTTTTGGTGTGTGTGTACTGGGGATTTGAATCCAGAGCCTTAACACAGAGCTACATCCCTCACCCTTTTCTCTCTTCTTTTATCGCTTTCTTTCTTTCTTCCTTTCTTCCTTCTTTTCTTTCTTTCTTTCTTTCTTTCTTTCTTTCTTTCTTTCTTTCTTTCTTTCTTTCTTTTTTCTGAGGCAGGATTTTACTATTTAGTACAGGCTGGCCTTGAACTCATGGTTGTCCTCCTGCTTCAGCCTCCCAAGTGCTGCAATGACAGATGTGTGCCACTGTGGCCTACAAATCTTTTTCATTTTTGAGACTGGGTCTCATTTAATTCCCAGAGTGGACTTGAGCCTGTGATCCTCCTGCTTCAACCTCCCAAGGACTGGGACTGCAGACATGTGCCATTACATTCAGCTATACTGTTTGTTTATCAGTTTAAGGCATTATTAATTGACTTGTTGAAAGATAAAAATTTAATAAGCTCATATTTTTTGTCATTACTCCATTTCCTTGGGATTTTTTCTAGTTAATATTTTATATCTCCAACCCTTTAAATAATGTACCAAAAGCTGTGTTTCCTGTTCCCTTGAATTGAAGCAGTAACTCTAGATTCCCATTTGCTAAGCACCACCTGGCTCTTCCACTTTCCTCCTCTTCCTCCCTTCTACTTGTCAAGGTCAGTCAGCTATATTTTACTTTTACAATGAAAAGTTGTTAATATTTTTCTGTAACCATGTTTAGGTCTTTGCCGCTTGACTCCAGATTGACTCTAAAAGAAGGAATTTTTTTTTTTTTTTTTTTTTTTGGACTGGCTTAGGATGCCTTCAGGGCAGGTCTGCAAGCCTTGAGGTTATGGGGCTTACAACTGAGCTAATGGGCAGGCCCTCCCACATTGACTCTACAAATTAAAAGGAAAAACAGCTTTACATTACAGTGACTTGTTGTCTCCTGTCCCTGTTGTTCTTCTTTTATTTGAATCTAAGTCTGGAGTATGAATTCCAGGGTGCGGGAAGCAAGGAAACCAACCCGGTGGGTCGTGAAAGCATGGAGAAAGAGAGCACAGGCATGTCCCAGTGGGTGACGTGGCGGGCACCGGGAGCAGCGTTCAGGCAGGGGCTGGTATTCGTACTATGCTAGGTGGGATGAAGGAAGTGTGAGTTTGGAGGATAGTAGTGTTAGCAAGGAGAGAGGTTGCTGAGGGCACAGTGGCCCGTTCAGCCGGGAGGATACATGAAGGGGAGTAGTGCCTGAAGGAGTTGGAAGTCTAGTTGCTCAGTATTGTGCAGAGAAATGGGGAGGGGTGGGCTATTCATCCTTGGGTTATTTTACTTTTGCCTTATAACTCCCCACGATGTGTACTGAGGTGGCCTCTCTGAGATGGAGTGGATCAGAGGGTGTCTAGGAAGGACAACTAGAAGGAAGAGTGATGAGTGAGGGCTTCTGAAACAAAGCTAAAGATGATGGATCCAAGGCTTGATGATCGTTGAAGCATAGAAACTTAGAGTTTCCAAGCTGGGCATGGTGGCACATTCCTGTAATCCCAGATACTGGAGAGGCTGAAGCAGGAGGATTGAGCCCAAGTGTTCAAAACCGGCCTGGGTAATGTAGGAAGATCGTATCTCAAAGAAAGGGACAGAGGAAGGAAGGAAGGCCCAAAGGTCAGCTAGCCTAACTTAGGGCTTCTAAAACTGAAGATGGAAAAGACCAATCAAACTTGAACTAGGTATAGTTGGCTAAGAGCCTGCTAGAAAATTCAGAAGATGGTTCAGTATTCCAAAGGGGCCTGGGGGTGATGGTTGCTCTACCTATGTTCTAAGCTATCACATTAACTTTCTTTTCCTGAGATCCTGGGGTGGTTTGGGGGGACACCTAACATCTCACTGAGCCTGTTCTTGTTTCTCTGGATGCAGGAAGGACCATCAGAGTGCCCCACCTGTGCAGTACACAGCACTGCGGGCCTTGCTGGAAGCCATGCTGAGCCGGTGTGTGGAGCTTTCACAGACTCCGCTGAGCATGAGAACCCTGGTCAGTGTACTGCAGACTGACTTTTCTGAACTTGTTCTGTTGTGTTTTTGGAAAGATAATGGGTACATTTTCTTACTGTCATATGCCATTTTATGTTTTTTTCCTCGTGCATAGACATCTACAATGAGATGTTATTTTTTTTTTTTTCCTAGCTGCATTACTGTGAGTGAGACCTAAGGTTTGTTATCTTCGTGTGTAGGTGAAACTGAAGTCACAGAATTTAAAAAATTTTTCTCTAAAGTCCAAGATTAGCAAGTACTCGCTCCTGGGTGCGCTGAGCCAGTGATGGAGTCTGGGAGTGGTGGTGCATGCCTGTAATCCCAGCACTAGGGAGGCTGAAAACAGGAGGATTATTATGAGTCCGAGCTGCGCTCCACACACACATACACACACAAAAAAATCCCCTCAAAATTATCAAGTACTTATACCTAAAGGAACAAATAAACATGCTCACAAAATTCAGGCTGGAAACTTGTTAGAAATTTAAAAAGAATTTGATCAATGCGCACTGGCATTGTGCATATATTGATAAAAATCATTGGCTTTTAATGCCCCATAGATTTAATTTATTTTTATTTTTTTATTTTTTTGGTGGAACCGGGGATTGAATTCAGGCCCCTGCACTTGCCAGGGAAGCGCTTATTCTACTGAGCCATCTCCTCGGCACCCCCAATGCCCCATAGATTTAAAATAATCAGGAAAGATATTGTCAATGTAAATGTTAATTGTATCTTTTAAGGTTAAAATCTTTACACCTAAAAGGATGGGGATTTTCTTGTGTTTTAGAGCAACAATATGGACATTGCAGCCAGTTAGGCTAATGTCCACTAGCCGTGACAGCCTTTTGCATATTGTACTCTAGGAGCCAGTCCTGTGGTTCTCAGGGATACAGGAGGTCAACTATTTTTAAAAAGCTGCTCTGTTAGATTTTTGAGGCTATCACCAAGATTCCCATAGGAAGTTAAATATTTGTGACTGGCAGACTACAGTTTAAGTATTGGAGGTCTGTGGTCCTCCAAGCATAGATGGGGACACAGCAGGTGCTGGGCCCACAGGTTCCTCTGTCTTTCTAACTTTAGGGCCATGCAGGCAGTAGGGAGTCAGAGAAGGCGAATCTTCGAAGGGGAAAGTTCCTCCTGAGCACTCTGGAAGGGTTTAGAAATGCCTGCAGGTAAGGAGCCCTCTGTGGTCTGAGGGCATAACAGGGAGGGGAGGCATGGGAAAGGTTCAGGCAAGGGATAGGGCTTCAAGAGTGCCCCTGATTTCTGATGCTATGATGTACACTGGGAGGACTTTGGCTTTGGGGTTAGGGATGTGTGAGGGAGGTTTGAGGACAGGTAGCTGCCTAAAGATTCTGTCCTGGTAAAGATTTTGCCGTTGCGCCATGAAGTTGTGTCTCGCTCACCTCTGCATTTCCCAGTTGTGTCTGCTCGCCTCTGCATTTCCCAGTTGTGTCTGCTCGCCTCTGCATTTCCCAGTTGTGTCTCGCTCACCTCTGCATTTCCCAGTTGTGTCTCGCTCACCTCTGCATTTCCCTGCAGCTAGCCCAGCAGCACATAGCTAGTCCCTGAGAACAGCTCATGTCAGCATATGTTTGCATGTCTTCTCTGTGCCAGGCTTGATGCTAGCCAGAGGGGGACAGACAGTTTTAAGTCTGTATGTGGAATTTGTTGAGTTGTCAAGAATCCAGGGAGAGAAAACAGCATAGGAGAAGACAAAGAAAGGTGAAACAGGACACATGGTGATGGGAAGTGGTGTATGATGGGGGAGCCGGAGCCTGGAGGGGTAGTCAGGGACCCGATCTCACTGGCGCCTTAAACCGTCCCCAGATCTGATGGTGGGGTGCTTTCCCTGGATTCTGACGCAGGCGTCCACTAGGCTGGCGCTTCCTGCCCTTGGGTGAACAGCATTAAACATACTCATGTTCTGGTTTCTCAGGTTGGCTGTAGAATTCCAGGGTGAGCCTTCAGCCCAGGAGAATCCCTTCACAGCTCCCAGTGCCAAGAAGGAAGACACGTTGGAGGCCTTCTCAGAATTTCTTCTTAGTGCCTGTGACTCCCTGTGTATCCCCATGGTGATGGTGGGTGCCTCTGAGCTATGGGCGGCCTGAAGCCGGGGACGAGAAGCGTGTGTATGCAGCAGGCCAGCAGGCTACAGGCCACAGCCGTGACTACTTGGCTGGCCCTGGGGGCTTGAGCTATGTTGTTCTTTCAGTCACATTTCTTTTGGTTTTTAAAAATAAAGTGTAGTGTTTCATTATAAGACTAACAGATGTCTCTGAAGAAAAGTAGAAAGCAGTAATGATGAAATAATAGAAAATACATATGATTTGATAAATGCTTTATATTCACTGCCTAACCTTTATCTTCTATATGGCCTGAACAATGCTTGATGTAATTTCCCCTATTGTTTCTGTTCTTTCTTTTATTTTGGTGCTTGAGATCAAACCCAGGACTTTGGAGATGGCAGACAAGTACTCTACCACTGAGCTATATCCCTTAATTTCCATGAGGTTTATCTTTTTCTTTTTTCTTTTTTTCTGTATTTTGTACAAGGTGTCACTACGCAGCTTGGCCTCATAGTGATTTTCCTGTTTTCAGCTTCCCCAGAGCTGGGATTATAGGTGTGCGCCACCACACCTGGTCTCTGGCTCAGCTCACCTGGGGGTGGGGCCGCCGCAGCATGTGGTGCCAGGGATCGAACCTGCGATGAGGTTATCTTGTCTTACCACTACAGAGCAAATGCTGAGATTAGATCTGTGGCTACTGGTTCTCAGGCTGTTCTTGTGTCTTTCTGGTGAATTACGAGCAGAAGTGAATGTTAGTGTCCAAGCTTCGGTGAGGAGCATGTATGAGTGTTCTGTGAAATGAGAGATGACCATTTTGAAGAGAGACCTGGTTTTGCCGAGCTTTGTTTAGAGTTGACTTAAAGTTGAGATGGTAGAAGTGCAGTGCCCAGAGCTGTTGGCTCCGGGGTCACCTGGAATCTTTTCTGGCTTCAGGTTGGGTACCTTGTGAGTCTGAAGAGTTTCTTAGCTGGGGAAAAGTGCTTCCTAGTCCCTGTCTCTTCTGGAGAGAGCCTCTTTTCCTTAAATGGTGCACCAGGATCTAATAAAATTTCATAGAAATTTTATATTATTCCTGCTTTCTACTTTTCTATATTTTATATGTTTTCTTTAATACTGTGCTACCTTTATAGTAATAATTTTTTTAAAGTTGCTTTAAAAGCCAAAGGAATGGTGGGTATAAGTACAATGGCAGAGGCTCAATTCACACAGGGAACAGATGCAGGGGGCAAGAGGTGGCCAGCAAAGGGCACATCAGTGTAGCTCTGTATAGGTGCAGATGAGAGCCTGCTTTTCTTTACTCTTAACCCATGGCTACTGTGCCCGGCTGCCTCATGTCTATTCACGGGCCATAGAGATAATAAATATGAGGGGAGTTTATAAAATGTATCGTTACTGTAGGACTATTACTAATTATAATAGAAACACAAATATCAAACTATGGTTTAGAAAGCACTCTTTACACATCAGACTTCATTTGCTGCTGGGAGGTACATCATGCTGTTCTTATTTTGCTCTTTGAACAGAGGCCTGGAAAGGCAAAGCATCTGCTGTAACCCTAATGGCACATGCAAGCCTTAAACGTAGGTCTGTGACTTTAGACTGTGACTTTAGACTCCCTAGCTTTGCTTGTACCCTTCAGATGAGAAGATTGGTATACTGTTGCTAACTTTGGTGTCACTTTTTGCAGATGGCTTTTCCACTTCTGAGACTCAGTCCTGGTGGGCTGTGTTCTCCATTTTGGTTTTTTCAGAGGTACTTGGAGCAGACCACCCACCCAGGCTTGATGGAAATTTTCCTCTCAATTCTGCACAGCCTCTTTGTCATCGTCCCCCACATGAAGGACAAGTTCTCCAAGAAGCTTGGTAGGCAGCGGGCCAGCATGGAAGGTGGGAGGGAGGCAGGTATCACAGGTAGCTGCTCAAAGTGATCAAAGAAAGCAGGAGCCACATGATGCTTACGGATTGGTCAGAATCTCTGCCAGTGTTGGGGGGAAGGAAATATGTAGCAGTTGGGCCAGGGAGATGGCTCAGTAGAATAAGTGCTTCCCTGGGAAGCACAAAGGCCTGAGTTCAATCCCTGGTTCTGTTAAAAAAAAAAAAAAAAAAGGAAATATGTAGCAATCAAAAGGCATGGGGGTTGGTGGTTCTGTCCAGAAGGCCAGGAGGCTGCAGTCTACTGCCCACATCACAGTCTGTCCTTTATACCTCACACAGTACTTACCATCCTGAGCACTGAGTGTTAAATTATCCCCAGTCACTGTGACAACTGAAAAAGTTGTGCTTGTATGTCCAGGTACCTTCTGGGGGAGTAGGGTTGCTCTGTAAAATCCACTGTCAAGTGTCTACTGTTATTTTTTCCTAAGCTTAAGTCCAGTACCTTTTGATTCCTTCAACCTTCTCTAGGCCTTCTTACATCTTTTTCTTTTTTTCTCTTACTCCTGCTAGTTATTTTTTCTCCATTTCCAATTTTTATCCTATAAACAGCTCAGTCTTCAGAGTAAAGCCAAGAATCAGAGACTCCTTTTTTTATTTTTTCTTGTCTCTTGTTTTCTTTTATTACCCTTATTTTTTTAAACTAACATTTACTTGAGAGACAATGTAGCAGCAATTGGTATGGCATGACAAACAGTACATATTTAGAAAACCAGAATGACAGGCATTCCAAGCATGGCCCTAGTATTACACATTGCTATCTTCAGTGCAGTCACTTAGTTCACAGGTATCAGCATATATAGTTAGTTAGTCAGGGTAAGAATCCGACCAACTAACTGCTAGTTTCAAAAACCTGCTGAAGATTCTCAGGATCATTGCCTTAACCATCTTGTGCATATAAATATATGGCTTTGCCCCTGTCATGTTTCCTAGCTTTTCTCCTTGCCCTCTCTTCATTGTTCCTTTTTTCCCCCCCTTTTTTAAAATATATTTAGCATTTAGTACAGGGTCTACAGGGTCTCACTGCACAGATTGGACTCCTGTTTACAGCCTCCCAAATGCTGGGATTACAGGTGTGCGCCACCACGCCCAGTCTCAGTCTCCGGTCTCGGTGTGCCCTAGGGCAGGGCCAGCACTACAGGCCCTGGGATCAGTCCCCCAGCCCCTGCATCTGCCTAAGCAGGTGCTTTAATCCACTGAGCTATCTCGCCGGGCCTCAGAGACTCCTTTATCCTTAGACTGTGGCAGTAATTGACCAGGTGTGATGATGCATGCTTGTAATCTGAGAATTTGGAAACTGATGCAGAAGGATTGCCATAAGCCTGAGGCCAGCTTGGCCTATACATAGTGAGTTCAAGGCCAGCCTGAGCTATATTAGGCGAGACCTTGTCTCAAACGGAACCAAAACAAAGAAAACAAATGACCAAAGTGGCAGTGGTGATCTTTTCCCCCTTTCTTTGTTCTCTACTTGCCTCCCTTCCTTCCTTCTTTAATTTTAAATTGTTAGCTAGGGATGCCAAGCAGTGTTAATTTGATAGCTAAACCTCTTGAAACTCCTCACTACCCCCACTCCCCATTCTTACCACTGCAACTTTCTTTTTTTTAACCATTGTAAGTTTTGTTCAAGTGCTGTATGCTCTGGTGTTATACTCTCATACAATAAAAGGTTCCAGTGGCCAAGTAAGAAATTTGAAAATGTCCGCTGGACTCCACAGCATGAATGCCCTCGGCCACCTCATCTGGAACAGTTTCTGTGGAGTGGTGGTGGTGACGCTGGACCACAGCCAGTCCTTTGGTTGTAGGATGAGTGGCAGATGAGGCAGCAGACACAGGATGGACAGCTCTTTCAACAAGTTTTGTGGGAAATGGAGGTGTGATGCAGCGAAATGCAGAGTTAGGGAGGGTTTTCTTATTCTTTGAGATTAAAAGCACTTAACCTGATTGGCTGTTAATAGGAAGAGCAGAAGAGAGATTGTTGCTAGTCCGTGTGTTTTGGGATTCTTGCCCCATCATTTATATTTTGACATTGGGGACATTCAATTTCTTATCCCTGTAGTCTTTATCTAGAGCATGGTGATAACAATAAAATTAAATGAGACAATGTATATAGATTTACCAAATAACTATACTCCTCAGCCATTGTAAAAGCTGACTTTTCCCTTCCTTCCAACATTCTTCTTGTCATCATACGTTAGGATCCCAGAGGATCCAGTCTTGGGGTACTAGATGGGATGCAGAAGTGTAGCTCACTAGAGGGCATTGCTGGGGAGCAGAGGTTGTGGTGAATGGCTGTGAACTCTCTCGGGAAGTCTGTAGAGCACAGAGCCAGCTAGAGCAGAATCAAATACTCATACTACAAAAGGGAAGAGGACAGCAGTAATTGCCAATGAAGGAGGAGCAGACCTGTGGTGAAGAAACTCTTGCTGTCTCCTGTCTAGGACCTAATTTATAGCAGTAGGGGCCAGGCAGCTAGTCTTAGTGAAGAGCCTGAGAGGGGTCAGGCAGTAGGGGGGCCTGTGTTAGGATCACCTGCCAAGGCCAGAGCTGTTGTCAGACCTCTGGTCTGAGAACCAGTCCCCTTTCTACATGCAATTCAGAGGTAGGTATAGTGTGACTTCTCCTGTTTATGAATCTGAAACTATTATTTTCTACAAAACTGTGTCAAATGTACCAGATTAGAATGGAAGATAATTCAGAAAAGAATTTCCTTCCCTTCTTTTCCCTTCCCTTTCCCCTTCCCTTCCCTTCCTTTTTTGGTACTGGGAATCAAATTAGAATCTTGTGCTTGCCAGTCATGTGCTTGTGTCACTGAACTATATCCCCAGCCCATTCTCCAACCCTTGTGTGTGTGTGTGTGTGTGTGTGTGTGTGTGTGTGTGTGTGTTTGTGTGTTTGTGTATGGTACTGGGGATTGAACTCAGGGCCTTGTGTTTTCCAGGCAGGCACTTATTCCACTGAGCTATCTCCCCAGCCCCTTCCAACCCTTTTTAATTTTATATTGAGACAGGGTTTTTGCTGTGACCTGCACAGTGCTTGAAGCTTAGAGGGAGGGGGAGGGCAGCAAGAAGATGGGGAAATAGAGACAGAAAGCTGAGTTGAGGTGGAGCCCTTTCTCTGACAACAGGAAAGGAGCTGCTCAGCATCATAGCCCATTTATTTATACACTGGTTGGTGTCACATGACAACTTCGTCTAGCAGCCCATTGCATGGATTATCCTGGGGCTTGGTGTTCTGCGGACTGAAGTGGCCTGTCCACACAGATTGCCTTGGGTGCTTTTTCTTCTTCTTCTTCTTCTTCTTCTTCTTCTTCTTCTTCTTCTTCTTCTTCTTCTTCTTCTTCTTTTTTTTAATGTATTTGGTACAGGGTCTCACTACAGAGCTTGGACTCATAGTGATTCTCCTGCTTCAGCCTCCCCAGTGCTGGGATTACAGGCATGTACCACCACGCCCAGACTCCATGGCCTGCTCAGAGCACCCAGGGGTGGGTCGGTGAGGTGTGCAGTACTGGGGATTGAACCCAGATCCCTGCACTTGCCCAAGCAAGCACTTAGTCCACTGAGCTGTTTTGCCCACCTGCTTTTTGTTCTTGGACTTGTCTTGCCCCTACACATGTGGTTAATTTCCAGCTTCAGCCGCTTCCTACGGGTTTTATAAGTTTCCCAGGCTGATGTTGAATTTAGAATCCTCCTGCTTCAACCTCAAGTAGCTGGGATTATAGGCAGGTACGATTATGCTTGGCTAACATGAACATTTATTTATTCAACACTTTCTCTGAACGAAGTACTTTTTAGCTATATTTGTTCTTTACCTTAACTTTACAACATTCCATGAGGTACACACCTCAAATGGAGTCTCAGAAGTTAAGTAACTTTTCCAGAGTCACATTACCAGATAGTGACAAAACACATTTTGAACCTGGTCTGTTTGCTCTGATACCACCCAGAATCTCTGTAACAAGTCTGATTTAAACAACACACTTCTTTCTTCCCGTTTCTAAGCTGCTTCATCCTTCATACGACTAACGCTGGAGCTCAAGGCCAGATTCTGCAGTGGCCCAAGGTATGTGTGGTCTCAGGTAAAGGACATGGGTCTTTATTAACTGGAAGAGTAGAAGTTTCTAGCTGTTGTTTTGGTGCTGGAATCTCATGGGGTTGGTGATGTCAGCACTAGTCAGCAGCTGGTGTATGTGCCACAGGTGCTTCTATTAGCTGCGTTTCATCTGGTCTGGTAAGCCTCTGCCAGGTGATATGTGATGGGCACCTGTCACAACAAAGCTGGAATGACTCTCAGACATTATCTAACCTCCCATTTAAGTGGGGTAAACTGAGGCCCTCAGAATGGATGGAATGCAGTGTCCACCAAGTTCCAGTTGCTACCAGCCACCAAGTCCAGAGGTAAAACTCTTGATCAAAGTGAAGAGGTTGCCTCAGGTTGTCAGTTGTGTTGTCTTGCCTCAGTCTTGTCAGGAGGAGCAGCCTTCTCTACCTGCCCACTCATGATTGCCACCTCTCTCTGCGTTTACTAGGAGCATTCATTTGCTACTGTACATAGCCCACATGATGACTAAAGTGTCATGTCTTTTAGTTCTCCTTCCATAGCTCTGAATAGAACACCACACCTTTAACAGAGAATTTAGCGATCCATATGGATTTAAAGTAAAAACATTCAGAAGTTTGCAGGACTTCTCAGTACTCACCTCAGTTTCAATAGCTTCCTGTTTTGCTAGTAATCTCCATCCCTTTCCTAGCCCCGAGGTGCTTTTTTTGTTTGTATGTTATGTTAAATTAGACCTGACTAGGCCTCCTTGATTTTTTTTTTATGGAATCGAGGATTGAACTCAGGACCCTGCACTTGCCAGGCAAGCACTCATTCTACTGAGCTATCTCCCCGGGCCCTCCTCCTTGATTTTTTAAAATACATTTTTTAATCCTTACCTATATAGGCAGAGTGCCTATGTTACAGCTGTGGACAAGAGATTCCATATTTACTTTTCCTGGCCACTGTAGAGGCTCCTCTTCCATGGCCGTGGATAGAATTTTCCTGGGCTCTAGTACAAGGCAGTGGCATCCAGACACATGGCAAAGATAATGCCATGCTGAGCGAAAGTAGCAAAGCTGTCTCTTTTGTTCTCTTTTCTCCAAGTCACTCAGCCCTAAACCAGGCGTGTTCCAGTTTTCTCTACTGCATGTGCCTCAATCTCCTCTCAGCTCCAGAGAAGACAAGACCGCCTTCCTCAGAAGGTGAGATGCTGTGATTTGACTACCCTTGAGGTTGTGGCAGGCTGAACAATCTGGATGCCTTATTGATTGGCAGCATAGTATGTCAGACAGTGGTAATTTCTCTTTGCCTGAAGCTGCCCAGATAAACCATGGAATCCTGGAATGATAGAATTATCAGATTGATTTCTCGGGAAGTGAAATAACAACATCAGAAAACAAGATAATCCAAGACTCCTGGGCTCTAAAAGCCGAGAAGAATTCTAAACTCTTCAAGACCACATTCTGCATTCCCAGTTCTAATCCCTATAGCATCTCCACAGCAGGCTCCTTTTCTGCTTGTTTCCCTCTAGGGTCCACTGCTTACTATAGCATGAACAAGCTGTTGTGTTTTCTATGTTCATTCGTTTGTGATTGTGTGTGTGTGTGTGCGTGTGTGTGTGTGTGGTACTGGAGTTTGAACACAAGGCCTTGTGCATGCTAGGCAGGCACTCTACCTCTGAGCTATATTCATAGTCCTGTTTTCATATATTTAACTTTACTTTGAGATAGAGTCTTGCTAAGTGACCCACGCTGGTCTCAAATTTATATGTCTCCTGGACAGCTGAGATTACCAGTGTGTATTACCACACTTGGGCTTGAGATAGTGTTTATTTTCTTCCTTCCTTTTTTCCCCCTGCAGTACCGGGGGTCCTGCCTAGAGTCTTCCACATGGTAGGCAAGCACTTTACTATTTATCATTGAGCCACACCCTATGCCTCATGAGATATTTCCTAAGTATCTGATGAGAGAGCTAGGGGAACAAAGCTGTGCTCTCCATGGAATGAGAGAGGCAGGTAAATACACAAATAAATACAATATCAATGATGGATAATAAGGAATCATGGAAAAAACAAAGGTGGACAAATAGGCAAAAGGTGATGGAGGGGAGGAGGCACATTCTGGCTAGGGGAGGTTCATGTGAAGCAGACCCTCCGAGTAGGGGTCCTAGTGAGACCCACATAGAGTCTAGGAAGAAGGAACAGCAGGTGTAGGCTTTAGGGCTAGAAGTTTTCCCTTTTTTTGGGGGGGAGGAGTGGTGGTCCTGAAGATAGAACCTACATTCCCAGTTCCTTTTATTTTTTGAGACAGGGTCTCACTAGGTCATTGACTTATCCAGGCTGGCTAGAACTTGCAGTCACCCTGTCTCAGCTTCCCAGAGTGCCAGTGTTACAAGCATGCAGTACTACACTGGGCTACAATTTTCCTTTTTGTTGACTATTCATTGAATTTCTGTTACATGCCTAGGAAGGCTCAGATACAGCTTTGGATTTAATAATGAGATAATTAAAACATGTTTTCTGCCCTTTGGAGTTCTTCTACCCTAGAGTTCTCTTGGTCTAACATCATTTACTCAAATTGTATACCTTCTTTGGAGATGAGACTCGGTGCTGTCCTTCACTTTACATTTATGAAGACTGGGTCACTTTCCCTCTCTCCAGACTTCCTTCTCTTTTGTCTTTTTGGGCTGAGGCAGAAGCCCAAGTAAGCATTTCCATTACTCTCAACAAGTTTGGCTCCTGGTTCTCACATCGCACTGGCCACTTGTGGCTGTGTGGCAGTCTGCTTGCTGGACATGGTCAGGCCTGCGCAGAGAATAGTACAGCTGTGCCAAGGTAGCCTGAGACCAGCTGGGGAGCTATAGCACCATGGCTTCTTGTGCTCGTCAGAGCCACTCCCACAGCTGTGGGCAGCTCTCTTGTCAGACCAGGGGAACCCTCACCTCTGCCCCCTTGCACATAGACCTTGCCATATCTCAGAGCTCCAGAAAGAGCAGCAGACCTTACCTCCATGCAGGCCACTTCTTGTATTATGAGAAAGCGTGGTGGATGTGCAAGGCTTAAGGATATTTGCTTCATTATTATCATACTGATTGTGGTTTTCTTTGATGAAAAAAGCAATGAACTAGGAGACCTGAGTGGCTCTGCTACCAAATTGTTGTGCAACAGTCCCACTCCTCATCTTCCACTTGCTCAGGATTGGTTCTGGGTCTACTGCCTTGGTAGGAGGGACCCTTTCAGTTGACCCCTAACTTAAGTTCCTGTTCTGGTCTGGTCATCCAGCCTCTCCACTTGTAAGGATTGATCTGAAAACCAGACCTTAGCATTGTCTTAGTTACTTTGCTCATTGCTGAGACCAAAATATCTGACACCCAAAGTTAAAGGAAGAAAGGCTTATTTTGCTCAGTTTGTAGAGGTTTCAGTCTGTAATCAGCTGGCTGCAAGGGTTGCTTCACAGAGGCAAGCTACTTGTGGCAGAAGGTAGCAAAAGCAACAAAAAACCCTTAACAGCATCTTTCTGCCCCTTTTATATAGGATGAGGGCAGTACCAAACCAATCAGTAGATTCATTTAGTAACCACATACCGTTAATCCCAGCATCACACTCTAGACTCAGCCACTTCCAATAGAACCCCATCTAAGGCTGTATGTGCCCAGCATTTGGGAGGTGGAGGCAGGAGGTTTGCTGCAAGTTCAAGGCCAGCCTGAGCTACATAGCAAGACCCTGGCTCAAAGCAACCAACCAACCAACCAACAAACGAGTGAATGACTGCATGAGGGTTTGAGGGGACATCTAGACACAAACAATAGCAAGCATCTTAACTTCCCTGGCCTTTTACTCTAGTCCCACACATCTGTCTGTGGCACAGTATCAGGGAGGGAGTTTTCTCTGATTCATGGTGAAATGTGGAAAATAAGGGTAGTGTGATTTTTCCATAAAGCTGTGATTTTATTCACATTGTATTTTTCTTTTTCTCTTCTTTTTCTTCTCTTTCTTTCTTTTCTTTTCTTTTTTTTTTTTTTTTTCTTTTTCTTTTTCTTTTTCTCTTCTTTTTCTTCTCTTTCTTTCTTTTCTTTTCTTTTTTTTTTTTTTTGAGGTAGCTTTGACTATGTAGTTCAGGCTGGCCTTGAACTCATTTTGTAGCCCACGCTGGCCTTGAACTCACAGCAGTCCTCTCTCCTTAGCCTCCCAAGTACTGGGATTACAGGTGTGCATATATTGTCTGGCCTTTCAATTTTAAGATCCTTTTCTGTTTGACATTAAAATATCTCTTCTTGACTTTTTTTATACAATGGAGTACTACTCTGCCAAAAAGAAGGGTAGAGAAGAATCTGCTTGAGACATTGCTAGGTAAATGGATGACCTTGAGGCCATACTCTTAAATGAAGTAAATTGGACACACGTGTGTAAATACCGCATTGTTTCTCTGGTGTGAGAAACTAGAATGTATGATAGAGACTGTGAAATAGGTAGAAAATGTTCAAATGAAGGAGAAGAGGAAAAGGGAAGAAAGGAAAAGTAAAAAAAGTGAAAAGAAATGGGAAAAAACCTTGTAAATGGGGAGGGGAGTGGGGAAAACTAATCAAATTATACCACGTACAGGAAAAAATTCTTTATGATGAATGTGATCATTATGTAAATTTTAAAAAATTATTTGTTTATTTATTTATTTGGTGCAGGATCTTGCTAGACAGCTCAGACTGTCAGACTCATAGTGATCCTCCTACAGGATCCTCCTGCTGGGATGACAAACATGCGCCACCACACCCAGTCTCAATTGTGGTCTCAGGGCACCCCGTGGGCGGGGCCAGCATCACATGCCCAGAATTGAAACCCAGCCGCTGCGCTCTGCCTAAGCAGGTGCTTTAGTCTGCTGAGCTATCAGGCCAGCCTATACCCCTTCTTTTATAAAGCAGAGGGTTTATGAGAAATCTAGAAGCCTTTGCCCTCAGGGTAAAAATCTAAATTTTCTAAGCAGCATCTAAAGTCTTTCATAGTCTCACCACAAACTGTATCACAATGTTCAGCAGCTCCTGACACCCCACATCTCTTCAGTGGCTGTCCATGCACCCTGAATGGAAGCATAATGTGTCTTTTCCTGGCTCCAAGCCTCCCAATACCTTGTTCCCCATCTTTTGGATTCTCCCCTTCCTTCTTGCCCATTTTCTGTTCCCTCTCCCCAGTGCTGACCTCTGAGCTTGCCCTCCCCATCCCATGCAGCCTGGCTACTGCCCTCTACACCCTGGAGCATGGCACAGGCTTCATGTGCTGTCATTGTCCCTCTCATTACCTATCTCTTCCCGCCAGTTTCTGGAGGTAGGACTTGGGTTGCACAGGCTGGCTCAGGTGTGCACTCCGTGAGCATGTGTCAAATGGGTGAATGAGTGTTCTTGGGATATGACCGTGCCCTTCCACATGTTAACTTTCATCTCTCCTGGTAAGCTGAACCATGCATCAAGGGAAAGGAAACTGATTTCCTCTGTACCACATGTGCCCCTGTGCCCCGCGTAGTACTCTGCACACGGTAGTTCTCAAGTGCTCATTACCTGCTCTCCTGTGTTCTCTGCGTGGCCTTCTGCTGCCTGTTTCCTCCTAGAACTCTCTGCAGTATCTGAGCTCCTGCAGCAGGGACTGCTCCAGATAAGCAGCAGGGGACCTGAAAGCCTCGCCTTCCTGTCTGATTGCCAGTATGTGGAGGGAGCTGCTCGCCAGAGACAGTACTGCATCCTGCTCCTCTTCTACCTGGCCTACATTCATGAGGACAGGTCAGTGCCCGGGGCTGGTGGGGCATGGTGAGTCCTGGGATACTCATCTATGTCTAGTTCAGATTAGTGGATATTGTTGTTTGTATCAAATTCAGACTCCATGTGCCTCAGCTTCCAACTCTTAGTTCAGTGAATATTTACAGAGGCATCCTCTCTAAGCCTGGGCCTGCACACTGGAACACAGAGATAGTGTGAATGGGCTGTGTTCCTGGCAGGCCCATGTGTTGGAAAGGGATTAGTAGACTGGTTGGTATACAGTGCTGAGAGACAGTCTTAGAAAGCTAATGCATTTTTTTGTTATCCTTGAGGATGCTGTCTTTGCAGTCACTACAGGGCTGACCTGTTTACCTTTGTGTTAGGAATCACTATATACCCTATTAAACATTGAAAATCCAGAGACCAGTCTTTCTTGAGCTTTTAAGAAGATAATTTGTCCTGGTGGAATTTATGCAACATAAAATTAGCTACTTAAAAAGGAGTGATGGTGACATATTGCACACTCATAGTGCTGTGTAACACAACTTCCATATAGTTCCAAAACATTTCTGTCACTCCCAAGTTAAACTCTTTACCATTTAAGTTAAAGTGACAAAGTTTGAGACTGGCCTAGGGGAAAAAAAGGTCAGCCCTCCTTATCTGCCTTGCACGTACAATAATACACTCCCACCTCCCACCACAGAAAGTGTCGCGTTGAACACACTACTGTTTAATCACAAACATGAGAAGGGAGAGGTGGGCGGGCTGCCTAAGTAGGGCCTCCCTAACCCCACAAGTAGCACCCTTCTCTTTAGCAGTGCTGGTCCAGTGGGAAGAGCTCACTTCCTACATGTGAGTGAGGAGTCTCTGGCCCTTACACAGCCTTCCACAAAGCATAGAACCATGTGATCTATAAGCACAGCAAAGCTCCGAAAGTACGTACAGCATGCTGTTCACGATAGTGATGGGTGTGCTGGGGCAGGACAGTGGGCTGAAGAGGTGTACTGCCAGCAGGACAAGCATGTCTGCCGGCCTGCCTGCTATGTCTTTCTCACTCAGGCTCTCTTGGTCAACAGGTTTGTCTCGGAGGCACAGTTATTTGTGGCTGTGCAGCGCTTCCTCCTGTCGCTTCAGGACCAGGGCGAGCGCCCCCTCCCAGTGGTCTTAAGAGCCTCCATCTATCTGCTTGCAATCTGCCAGGACAAGGGCAGTGCATTGGATGAGGTAGGGACCAGGAAGCCTGGGGCTCTCCTCCCCCCTTGCCTTGTTACATGAATGTACTGGGAGACCACGATGACATGTGTAGACAGGGGAGTGGCAGAGACACAGTAAGAAGTTCGGAGTGTGGAGAGGAGGGGAGTGCTGACACCGACAGAACCCACGAGGTAGAGATGAGAATTTCTCCTTTATAAATGAGACAGTGGGGATGAAGTAGAAGCATTTTCTAGGGCCCACAGTTAATTGATTGGGATAGTGGTGCACGCAGGGCTCACCTCATGCTTTACAGTCTCCTAGGCTCTTTGCTTGTTACCACCTCTGGGTTGTGCAGCAGGAAAAAGCTGTGAATTGCAAAGTGAATTGCTAAACATTGTTCATGAGACTGATCTTGAGTCATTTTAATGGTGGTTGTGGTTGTGTGTACAAGTTTTCTCTCTCCAGCTTTTTTTCAAACTCCTGTGGATCACGGTCAGTATCTGATTCATCACTGAATCTCTTCCTTTTTTCATAGAAGATTGCTTCTACTCCTTGACTGTGAGTCTTTCAGTCTCAACCTAGGCTAGTCTTGCCTCAGTGACTATTACTTTTGCCTCTTTTGAGTCAAATATTGGGGCAAATGTGATGCAAGCAGACTCAGTTTAATTTGAACAGAAGTAGGAGTGAAACAATAACTTTCAGTAAGACACCCCAGGCTAGGGAGATGGCTCAGCAGTCTAAGTGCCTGCCTGGCAAGCACAAGGTCCTGAGTTTGATTCCTGGTACAATAAAAAACAAAACTAAAAGACACTTCAGAGTACACAATGTCCCTTTGTCCCTATTTATGTCATATTAATAGCCATTGGTGATTATTGCTAGATATGCTACTTTATTAGGGATTGTCAGTTAATAATATGGTAACTCTGTCATTTTCTTTTCATTAATTACCTGGAATAGTTGTATAAAAAGAAGCTTCCATTAGCCATAGTTGTCCATGCCTGTAATCCTTGTTACTTACGTGGTTGAGGTAAGAAGATGGTTTAAGGCCAATCTGGGGAACTAAGTGAGGCCCTTTCTCAAAATAAAAAATTGAAAGAGTTGGGTCTGTAGCACAGTAGTTGAGCATTCCTGGGTTTGATCCCTAGAACTATATGCACACACTTACAAAAATAATAATAACAACAATAACAAAACATTTGGGTATGGTGGTGCACACCTGTAATCTTAGCACTTGAGAGGCTGAGGCAGGAGGATTGCCATGAGTTTGAGGCCAGCAAGGACTACACACTGAATTCAAGGCCAGCCTGATCTACACAGCAAGACTGTGTCTCAAAAACAAAACAAAACTGCCTTTCATCAACGAGTCAGTTATTCCATAGGACAGATGGTATAGGTGAATTCTTAATTCTGCTTATTTTTATCACTGGAGATAGAACCAGGGCCTCACACATGTTAAAAACACACACTTTGTCTACCACTAAGCTATATCCCCATTTGAGATTCATTCCTTTTAATTAACAGTTTCTTAAAAAATGAGTTGGTTAGGGGCCGGGGAGATGGCTCAATGGAATAGGCACTTCCCTGGCAAACGCAAGGACCTGAGTTCAATCCCCGGTTCCACCAAAAAATAAATAAATAAATAAATAAATAAATAAAAATAAAAGCATTCATTTGGGGCCAGGGAGATGGCTCAATAGAATAAGTGCTTCCCTGGCAAGCGCAACAAGTTGGTTGCTTAGTATAATTCTGAACCAAGAATTTAAAATAGTTGATGTATTTTGCTTATATATAATTATATCATTTTGAGGCTTAAGTTGTCCCATATTAGGGCAAAGGTATAGCCTATCCAAGAAAGTGCCTATAGCTTTTGACACACCCTACTTTTTTTTTTTTTTTTTTTTTTTTTTGAGACAGGGTCGGCTATGCAGTTCAGGCTGGCCTTGAGCTCACTTTGTAGCCCAGGATAGTCTTGAACTCACAGAGATCAATGGACTGGGGAGATAGTTCTGCAGTCTAAGCGGCTGCCTGGTAAGCGCAAAGACCCGGGTTTGATTCCCAGTATTGCATGCTATGCTGGCCACTGAAACCAGGCATGGTGGCACACATCTGTAATCCCAGTGCTGGCGAAGCTGAGACAGGAGGATCGCTATGAGTCTGAGCTGTATAATGAGACCGTGTACCAAACAAATAAGTTTTCTAAAAAGGATCCTCCTGCCTCTGCCTCCTGAGTGCTGGGATTAGAGGTGTGCGCCACCATGCCAGGCACAACCCTTTTGATTGAATTTTGAGTTTTCTAGGATGATAAGACCCTTCAGGCTTGTTTATGTTTCCTGCTTTTGCAATTTTTTTTTAGCCTACTCCAATTAGGGCATTACTTCTACCACACCTTGGAAAAACATGCTCTTCAAAGTGAACAATAACCAGCACATGACTACAGCTAGTACTCAGTATTTAGTCATTATTTTACTTGAGTTATCAACAGCATCTCTTTTCTTTGAAACACTGTCTTGGCATCTAGAACACTAGTTATGTCAGGTTTTCCTTCTGCCTCTCTGATCCTTTGTTGATCGTCTCTTGCTTTCTGACCTTTAAGTGTCGTTGGGCCCTGCGGCACACCTGTTTTTTGTTTTGTTTTCTTTTATTTGTTGTACTGGGCATTCCAACCTAGAGTCTTACATGTGTAAAGCAAGTACTCAGTCACTGAACTACAGCCCCCACCTGCCTCACCCTTTAAAAACAACTGAAGGCCTGCCATGGTGGTGCATGCTTATGATCGCAGCTCTCAGGAGAATGGAAAAAAAAGAAAGAAAAAAAGGAAAGGAAAAAGGGAAAAAGAAAAATAAGACAGGCTTTCCTTAAATTACCCAGTCTGGGATTATGACTGAATAGCTGGAATTATAGGTGTGTGCCACCTTGTCCAGCAGGGTGCAGTCTTCAACTGCATCCTACATCTCTCTTTTAAATCTCATACAGCCTTACTGTTGGGGTGACAACCTGAAGTAAACAAGTTACTCTGTCCTCTAGAATGACAGACTGAAAGAGTGCAAGGGTGGACATGGAAAGGCCTGACGGGAGACTACAGCAAAACTGTAGGCAGGGGACAGAGGGCGTGATGGAGACATCTGTTGCAGAGACGTTCCGATGATGCAACCCAGAGGATTTCTTGGATGGATCAGATGTGAGATGTGAGAACAAGAGAGAATGAAAAGAAATTTCTAATCTTGTTCTAATAGAGTGAAGAATTGTTAGATTGAGAAAGAAGAGCCAGGTATGGTGATGCATGCTTGTAATCCCAGCACTTGGGAGGCTGAGGCAGGAGGGTCACCATGAGCTCAAGTGAGCTCAAAGACAGTGACACCCTGTCTGAAAAAAAAAAAAAAGAATGGGAGGCTGCCATGTCCTGAGCCACAGGGGGATGATGCGGGGCTTCTGTGGTAACTGATGTGAACAGGGGAAGAGCATGGCGAGGATGGTCTGGCTAGCTTGAGGACTGATGATGTAGCGCGGCTGGCTTTTGGGGGCTCCTCTTTACCTCTGCCTGTGGTGGCATTAAGATTAAGAAGGCAGGGCTGGCCCGATAGCTCAGCAGACTTAAGCGCCTGCTTGGGCAGAGCGCAGAGGCCAGGGTTCGATCCCTGGTGTGCCTTGCTGGCGCCCCCGTGCCAGACCTGCCCCTGGGGTGCGCTGAGTGATCTACGCAGTAGCGAGACCCGGTAGACCCTCTATGCCCCATAGTAAATGCATTTTAAAAAAAAGACTAGGAAGGCAGCTCATGCAGCTCTGGGCTTCCCCTTTTAGATGTGAATCCGTGTTATATGACAGTGTCTTATAGATTTGTATATAAATATATAAGTGACAGTATACAACTTGATTTTTGTTTTGTTTGAGGCAGCATCTCATTATATAGTTCAGGCTTCCCTTGAATTTATTGTGTAGCTCTAGGCTGGCCTCAAGATCCCTATTTTCCTACCTCACCCTCCTGAGTCCTGAGATTGCAGATGTGAGCTACCATGCCTGACAAAACTTGATTTTTTGTTTTACTCTCTCTATATATATATATGTTTGGTTTTTGAGACAGAGCCTCACTGTGTAGCCCAGGCTGGCCTTGAAGTCACAGCAATCTTCCTGCCTCAGTTTTCTGAGTGCTGGGATTACAGCGTAGTGCACAGGTCCTTTATTCTTATATAATTTCACACTTAGAAAATGTTACAAGATGGGGCTGGTGAGATGGCTCAATGGTCTAAAGCACCTATTTAGAACAAGCTTAGCAAAGTACAGGGATCGTGGTTCAATCCCCCAGCACCACATGCCAGCCAGCCCCGCCCCCTGGTGGGCTGAGCTGGCCACACACACACACACACAAATAAATAAATAAAATAAATAAATTAAAAAATAATAATAATAAAAAGAAAATGTTACAAGATAGTTCAGAGTACTTATTACCCAAAATCACCAATTATTACAGGGTTTTTTTTTTTATGTGGAATTGGGGATTGAACTCAGGCCTTTGCATTTGCCAAGCAAGTGCTTATTCTACTGAGCCATCTCCCTGGCCCCAGTTTTCAGTTTTATCTCATTTTATTTTCTCTTTCCCAATCTCATCCCATGTTTTTTTATTTCTAAGCCACTTACAAATAATTTTCAGATGATGTTTATTTATTTATTTTTGTGTTTAGTACAGAGTCTACAGGGTCTCACTATGTAGGTCGGACTTGTAGTGATCCTCCTGTTTACAGCCTTCCAAGTGCTGGGATTACAAGTGTGCTTCACCACGCCCAGTGTCAATCACCATCTCAGCGCTCCCCAGGGGCGGGGCCAGCCCAGCAGGCCAGAGGATCAAACTCCTGACCCCTGCATCTGCCTAAGTAGGCACTTTAATCCACTGAGCTATTTGGCTGGCCCTTCAGATGATTTTTAGATGTGCTCATTTTAAAATACTTCATGCGTGTTTCCTAAGGTCTTTATTTTATTTTTAATTTTTCATGTGTCTTTTTAAAAATCATTTATTTATTTATTTGGTATGGGGTCTCACTATGCAACTTGGACTCATAGTGATCCTCCTGCCGCAGCCTCATGAGTGCTGGGATTATAGGTGTGTGCCACCATGCCCAGCATACATCTTTATTTTATATATTCATAGTCTAGTGATCAAAATCAGGAAGTTTAATATTGGATGCAATATTATTATCTAATCCATAGTTGATAGTCAGATTCTACTTTTTAAAATACCATGCTAGGGGTAAAACCCAGAGCCTTGCACATGATAGGCAAGTCTTCTGCTGCTAAACTATATCCCCAGCCCCCAAATTTCAGTTTATATCAATAGCATTCTGTGAGATCCTTCTGGCTCACAGCCCTTGTTCCTCTGCTTGTTTGGTTTTTTGTTTTGTTTTTGTTTTTGTTTTTTGTGGTACCAGGGATTAAACTCTGGACCTTGCACTTACCAGGCAAACACTTATTCCACTGAGCTATCTCCCTGGCCCTGTTCCTCTGTTAAAACAGGAAGAAAAGATGGGCTGGTGTGTGTGTGTGTGTGTGTGAGGACCCACAACAGCTGAAGTATATCTCTAGAATTAGATATCTCAAGGCATTTATAAACACTTCATTTTGTCAAGTTTACTCTAGTTTGATCAGCATTTTCTAACTTCTTAAATGCTACTCAATACTTACCAATTTTTATTTTTATTTTTTATTTATTTATTTATTTATTTATTTATTTATTTATTTATTTTTGGCAGAACTGGGGATTGAACTCAGGCCCTTGCGCTTGCCAGGGAAGCGCTTATTCCACTGAGCCATCTCCCCGGCCCCCTTTATTTTTAAATTTTGTAATATTTATTTATTTATTCATTTATTTATTTGGTACGGGGTCTTTCTATGTAGCTCAGACTCATAGTTATCCTCCTGTCTTAGCCTCCCCAGTGCTGGTATTACAGGCGTGCGCCACTATGCCTGGATTAGGTGACTGGCACAGCATGCCTGGGGTTCTGGGGCTGGCACAGCATGTTGTATCAGGGATCCAACCTGGGTCTTTGTGCTTCCCAGGCAGGTGCTTAGACTGCTAAGCTATCTCCCCAGTCCCACTAATTTTTAGTTTGCTTTTTTTTCTTCAGCATTAAGGCCTTTTCACTGATGTACATTCTCAGCCCCTTTTGTCTTTTTATTTTGAGAGAGGGTCTTATTAAATTACTATGATAAGTTGCCCAAGTTGGGCTTAAATCCTCCTGTCAGCCTCCCAGAATGATGGGATTATACGTGTATACCACCACATCCAGCCTTTATCTGCTGCTTAACATTCAGCGTGTATGGACATGACATGCTCTTGGTGCTAGTGGGTGCTCATTAGTGTGAGATGACCCAAATGAGTTCCCTGACTCACAGAATACCAGTTTTCCAGGAGATGCAAAAAGATTTCCTACATGGCTGTTTAATTCAGCAGTAAGTTCTGTCAAAAACTGAAACAAAAAATACCCCAACAAAACAGTAGAAAATGTAGCTTAGCGGGAAGCATGTGCATAGCATGCAAGAAGCCCTGGGTTCAATCTCCAGTACCACCAAAAAAGGAAAGACAGACAGACAGACAGACAGACAGACAGACGATAGTGTTCAGTTGGTAATACTCCCTAAATTGACCTATAGATTCAGGGCAATCCATATCAAATTCCTAGGTGCCTTTTTTTCCCCCAGATGGACAGACTGGTCCTACAATTCATATGGAAATGCAAGGGACCTAAATTACCTAAAGCAATCTTGAACAAAGTTGGAAGAATTATACTTTTTGCTAAGTGGCATATTCCTGTAATCCCAGCACTTTGGAAGGTGGAGGCAGGAGGATCACAAGTTTGAGACCAGCCTGGACAAGCTAGCAACTTATCAAGACTATTTCAAAATAAAAAAGAGGTTAGGGACAGAGCTCAGTGCAAAGGTCCTGCTCAGTGCAAAGGCCCTGCATTCTATCCTCAGTATCCCCCTTCCCCAAAAAAGTATGTTACTGATATAAGGATGGACATGTAGATCAAAGAAACAAAACTGAGAATTCAGGATCAATTTCATTTGTTTACTGTCAGTTGAGTTCATGAGGGACAACTGGAAACCCACATGCAAAAGAATGAAGTTGCTCTCATGTCTCTTGCAAAATTTACTCGAAATGAATCTAAGATAGAAGTGAAAGAGCCAAAATAATAAAGAATTTGAATTTGGTAACGTATATGATGGTAAGAAAGCTTTTTAAGCGTTAATAAATGTTTCTTCCCCTTCCACTTTTCCCCCTTCTGTGCCAGGACCTATCCTGGCTATACCCACGCTCAAGCAGCTTTCAACATAGTATAGGAAACTGACAAGAACAATGGCAATCACAACAGATTGTAGTAAGTTTCACCACAGGACTGGAGTTACCAACCTCAGCACTATTAACATTTTATCCTGGATTATTTTTTTCTGAGGAAGTTTTTTTCTGAGGATGCATCGTAGCTATTGTAGCATCCTCTCTATGTCACTAGATGCTAGTAGCGCTCCATGAATCAAGGTAATAAAAAAAAAAAATCTCCAGACCTAACTAAATACAGCAGACCCTTGACTTATGAACTGTTTCTTTCTTAGGGCTGGTTGTAACTCAAATTGTCAGTTGAAGGTTTGGGCTTCTCTAGATAGCCTTCAAAGTCTCTCTCCTATATAGAGGCAGATCTCAGTGTCCTTAAAGAGACATTGGCCCAGGATTTCTTACTGAATCCTCTACAGGAAAGGATGTTGTAATGTTCCTTCCAGAACTCTTTAAGGGTTAAATCTGTATCTGAGACCATCTGAAAGTATGAATGCCCAGCATTCGGGGCATTCTTCGGTCATAAGTTAGAAGTAAAATTTGTTCATAACCCGAGTTCATAACCCAATGAGGTTGACAAACTTCACTGATGTTTGTCAGTTGTAACTTGAGGGTCTGCTGTATCCCATGGGAAGTGCAATACTTTAGTTGCGAACTCGTGTTCCAAGGTGAGTACTTGGGATGAACCTGGGAGGCATCCTGGTGCACTGAGGTGCCAATACCTTTTCCTAAGTCATGAATAGGCTACTTTGGAGTTTCAGATTCTCTGAAAGCTTGTAGTTCACTCCTTCCCTCCCTCCCCCCAGGCTGTGGTCAGTGCAATCAGAAAATTCCTAGAGGACATCTCAGATCTGCACCTGGTCTACACCCACCACCCTGTCCTGCTCAGTTTCTTCCTATTGTATCCAGAGCTGATGAGTAGGTTTGGGCATCGTGTCCTGGAACTTTGGTTCTCCTGGGAACATAGCAGCTTTGAAGAACTGGATGATGTCTCTTCTGCTAGACAGTTCAGCCTTCCTGCCAGCTTTGCAGCCTTGTTCCAGATACTCAGGAGCAGCCCCAGCATCCTGCTTATTTTGCTGGTAGGTGCTCATTCATTTCTGCATTCAGAGATAGAGGCAGCACAGCAGCTTGTGCCCACCTCTGGACTTACTGCTGTCTCCGTGTGAGTGGAAGGTCTTTTATGCTTCTAAATGCATGGTTTCTGTAAAAATCGTACCCTTTCATAAGTCTGAGGGAGGTCTACATTCGGAGAGATACGTTCCTGTCTACTCCTCATGGGATATAACCATGAAGTGTGGGCCTCAGTCCTCATTCTCTTTCACCTCTTTGTCCTCTCTCTCAAGCAGATACTGGTAAGAAGGGTTAATGTCAAAGGATACCCTAGGACATGTATTCGGAGATGTCTGATTGCGTAGTCATTCTCTTTCCATGACTGTAATGGTTGTGTAGCATACTCCTTTGAGCATACCTAGAGTTGTCAGCAAACCCCATAATCTTTTATTGTATAAGGTATTACTATAATTCCCATCAGGTACATCAGGCAGGAAAGGGAGACCACCTGTTGTTTGCCACTTCTGACACCCTGACTTTAACTTCACCCTTTTTCCTTCCACTCAAGAAATCACATTGGAAAACAAATTAGAGTAACAGTATTATAGAGGTAACTATTGATATATTTGTATATATTTTTATTGAAATATATTTTGCATATCACAAAATACATCCATTTGACTGAATAATTCAATGATTTCTGTAAATTTAATAAGTTAATACCATTATCGTAATCAGTCTCAACGTCTTAGAACATTGTCATCCTCAACACTCAGAAACCATGAATCTATAATTTTTTTAAAAATTGTCTCTAGGAGCTGGCCAGATACCTCAGCAGATTAAAGCGCTTACTTAGGTAGATGCAGGGGTCAGAGGTTCCGATTCCTGGCCTGCCATGCTGGCTCTGCTCCCAGGGCCTGCTGAGATGGTGACTGAGACTGGGCGTGGCGGCACACGCCTCTAATCTCAGCGCTTGGGAAGCTGAAAGCAGGATAGTCACTACAAGTCTGCTCTGTGTCATGAGACCCTTGTAGACCCTGTAGACCCTTGACTAAATACAAAAATAAATAAATAAAATAAAAAGTAAAAAATTGTTCTACATTTCAAACTTCATGTTTAGTCATGAATTGCTGGTAGCAGGTTCTAAACTGATTTCAGGACACTGAAGTATGACATACACTGCCTTCAATGCCAGTTAACCCACTCCACACCCTCAGTCCAAGGTGGGTGACACAGCCTATTAGAGAAGGGTGAGACTCTTTGATGCTTTTATTATCAAAAGCTTGGGAGACTGAAAACGGGAGGATCATTCCGAGTCTGATTTGTGTAGTGAGGCCCCTGTAGACCCTGTACTAAATATATTTTTAAATTTTTTTTAAAAAGTATGAATTTTTACTTTATTGGAGTAATGATTATATATATATATATATAATTATTGGAGTAATGATTACATATAATCATTTATTTATTTATTTATGTATTTATTTATTTATTTATTTGGTACAGGGTCTTGCTACGCATCTCAGACTCATAATGATCCTCTTTCTCAGCCTCAGTGCTGGGGTTACAGGTAAGTGCCACCATACCCAGTTTTAGGGCTGGCACGGCATGCCCAGGGTTCTGGAGCTGGCACAGCATGGCATGCAGTATAGAGATGGAACCTAGGTCCTTGCACTTGCCAGGCAGGCTCTTGGACTGCCAGGCTATCTCCCCAGCCCCATACTGGAGTAGTGTTAGTAGCGGTAAGATCTGTATGTTCTTGCCCCATGTCCTTAGCTGCCCTTATCTGTCCATAGTCACGCTCACAAGCACATGCACATGTTCTCAACTCAAGCCAAAGTCTTAGCCTTCCATTCCTGAGATCTTTTGTCTTGTGAGGTCACACATGTTGAATTGACAGGGCCCTTGTTCATAGTTTATTCACTTATTTATTACAATACTGGAGACTGAACACAGGATCTTTGCACTGAGGTACATTCTCAGCTCTTTTTATTTTGAAAAACTTCATGACTTCTACTAAGTCACGAAGTTGCTCAGGGTGGACTTGAACTTTCATTCCTCCTGCACCAATCTCTGAGAGTGCTGGTATTGCAGATATGCACTACCACACTCAGCTTGTGTTCACACTTTAGTTTTTCCCAAATAAAATGCTATTTTTAAAGCCTTTAACATCCTAGTTCATATTGGTAATTTTCTGCAGTGCTCTTTGTGGAATGACTTGCATTTAGCATTCATTTAATATACTTTTGTTTAGTTGCTCTCAGGTGACTAAAAGGTATCTGTTCAAATTGAAAACTTCGGACTATATTTCACTTGCTTCCAGTTGTATTTAATGGCCTCTTCTATGGATGTGGGTATTAAAGTCTTTCCCATGTTGCTTCCATTTAAAAACTGCAGCTGGATATGGTGGCACACAGGTGTAATCCTAGAACTCTGGAAGTTTGAAGCAGGAGCTTTGCAAATATTGAGTCCAGCCATGGCACAGTAGTTAGACTGCCTCAATTTTTTTTTTTTTTTTCCAGAACCAGGGATTGAATTCAGGCCCTTTCGCTTGCCAGGCAAGTGCTTATTCTACTGAGCTATCTCCCTGGCCCTTGCCTCAAAATTTTTAAAAATGAATAATGTAATGCCATTTCAATACTTCAAGTCCTTACTATATTGTTGAAAATTAGGGATTTTCTCTCCAGTGATTTGGCACATGTACTCAAATCTAACTGCTTTACCTGAAGCTTTATCATGTTGCTGCCTTCCCACGATTTCACCTCACCATAAGTTAAGCCATTGAAGACCGTAGTCATAAGTAAAGGTTTTGTGTGGTTTGTACTCACAAAGTTTCTCCCAGTGTGAGTTCTTTTATGCCCCATGAGGGCGCTGCAGTAAGAATAGGCCTTATTACCTTCTTTACATTTGCAAAATTTCTGTCCAGTGTGAATTATTTCATGTACTCAGAGTGCAGTGAAATGAGCAAAGGCCTTTCCATGTTGTTCACATCTATGGGGTTTCTGACCAGCGTGAGCTCTCGCAGGTGTTGGAGTATGAAATAGAAACAGTGGTCCTAACACATTATCTGCATTCATAGGGTTTTGGTCCAGTGTGACTTTTTCATGCATTCATGGGTTCTGGAATAAGTGATGGCCTTACTACATTATTTATATTTATAAGGTTTCTGTCCTTATAAAGTGTTTTTTTTTTTTTTTTTTTTTTTTTTTTTTTCCGGAACCAGGGATTGAACTCAGGCCCTTGTGCTAGCCAGGGAAGCGCTTATTCCACTGAGCCATCTCCCCGGCCTTTTTTTTTTTTTTGTACAGGGAATTGAACTTAGGATCTCATGCTTGCCAGGCAGGTGCTATATCCCTGGCTGTCCAGTATGTTTTTGCATGCACTTGAGGGAACAAAGTACAAGAAGAAGCAAATGCCTTTCCACATTGTTTACAGTCATAGGATTTCTGTCCAATATGAGTTTTTTCATATACTTGGAGACCATGAGAAAAATGATGGCTTTTCCACAGTGTTTAGATTTATAAGGTTTTGTGCATTATGACTTCTTTCATGTACTTAGAGGGAAAAAGAAAAGGCAAACACCTTATCACATTGTTTATATTCATAGGATTTCTCTACAGTGTAAGTTCTTACATGCATTTGGAAGTAAGTAGAAAAAGAGAAGGCCTTACCATATTTTTTACAGTCATAGGGTGAACATTCAAATTCTTTAAGGAGGAAAAAAGGGAAAGGTATGAGATAAAAATAGCACATTAATATAGAGAAGCCAATTGAGACATCAAAGAGAGTAGCAGTAGACATAGTTAAAATATTAGATGTATTAGTCAATTTCCTGTTGATGGAACAAAATGCAAAACACAGTTTAAAAGAGGAGACGTGTCATTTGGCTCATGGTCTTTTTTGGAATTCAGCCCATGGAAAGCTGATTGCAAGGCAGAAATGGCATGATGGAAAGGCATGGCGAAAGAAAGCTGCTGACCACATTGCAGCCAGGAAACAGAGAAACGTGTTCCATCCTCATCTCTCCTTCCTGGAAGAGGTGGAGTCAGAGCAGACTGGCCTAGAGTTTAAAAGGAGGATGCTGTTTTATAACTGGCTGCTATTTAGAAGTCTAGGAACATGGAGGCTTCTCTGAGCTTCAGTTTTCTCACATAAAATGGGGATAACATGAAGATGGAAGAGGTAACATGTAGGACTGATCATGGTATGCTGTATAGTACACAGAAGGCTGAAACTAATTGTTGACTTTGAGTCTGAACCAGGTAAAGATTGTTCATCTCAGAGAGCCTAGTGGAATTGCCCAGTGTCATATAGCTAGTAAAACCATGGCTAGAACCCAAGATACAAAGAGTTCTCATTAAATTGGATGCAAGAAATATCAGTGGTAAAAAGGAACAGCAAGGAACGATTTTGTTGTTTGTTTAAATATATAATTCTTACCACTTCTCCACAGCTTTTAGCCACAGGAGGGGAAAAGTGTCTAAAAATATGTGCCGGTACCAATTTCTGTTTTTGATATGGGTAATTAACAGCTGAAAACAAAGCTGTTAATTGCCACTCTTATCAATGGGTGGTCTCTCATGTAGGTTGTTTAGATGTGAAAAACAATGATGTCACAGAAGCTCTGTTTGTTCTTTGCTTGGCCAAGCCACCCTGATAGGTCTTGTTCCAAGAGAGTCCTGGGTAACAGTGGGCAGCAAAAACTGTATAGTGGGCCAGTGTTCCACCTAGTCCCTTCCCACTGCTCCACACGGTGGGATGCACACGTTGCCCTATAACCCACTGTGGCCACAAAGTGTTTTCTAAGTTTCATTAACACAGATTGCTAAATGACTAGCTGTGTGACAGTGTGACATGGAAGGGCCTGTGAAGGAAGGAGCAGGAAACCATATGGCTGGGGCCCTATGACCTTGAACAAATTACCCCTCCCACAGTCTTCAGCCTCTTACTTTGAGAGTTGGGTGAGACGACCTAGATTTTCTCTAGCCCTTCAATTTTGTGATCTCTCAGAGATCTTTTCTTCTTTTCAGATATGTTTTCTGAGCTACTACAAGATAGCAAAGATAAAGCAGAACTCTGCTAATCTCTTCAGAAACATACTAATTAATCTGCCCATTTCCCTGTTTAAAAAATTAGGGTGAAACCTAACTGGAGAAGTCATTGTGAAGATACAAATCATATGTAAATAATAAACAGAACAGTACCTGATGTTATTAACCAAGCGAGTGGCTGTGGGTATTATTTCTTCAGCAACTATGAAGGTTTCTGAAGACCCAAGCCCAGATTCCCTTGTATCCCCATCCTTCCTGTCCACCCAGTGGTCAACACATCAGGATTTATCTGGCCAGAGACCAAATAGCCATGTCTCTCTGTGTCAGTAGCTGTCCTCTCCAGAGACAGTCTGTGTGTGACCTTGGATTCACAGCACCCCTCTTAACTGGCGAAGCACATTAGCCTGTCCCAATGATTTGGCTTATTTGAGCTGGTAGATGCCAGGAGCTATCAGCAAGACAGCCACTAGTGCAGCTTCTTATTAGCTTTACCTTTAAAATACATTCATTAAAATTATTCTGAAAGCAAGACAAAAAGTGGTGTCCTTTTCCATTGTCTGAACCCAGGGCCTTCGTAGCTTGGGGCAGGGATAGGAAGATGCCATGGCAGAGAATGGTCCTGAACTGATCCTGAGTTCCCTGCCTATGAACTGAATTTTTCCCAGCCCATCCTTCCCCTGGCCCATTTCATCTGCATCCTCGCTCCTTCTCTCTTTCCTTATGGCATACTCTAGCTCCCTAGCCTGAAAAAAAAGGGCTGTTCTTGACCCTAATACTTCCATTTGCAAGAGGGAGGCATACTGAAAAGCAGAGTTATGCTTGGAGTCAGGAAACCTACATTCATTTCCTCTTTATGCTGCTTACTAGTTTATATGACCTTGGACAAATCACCTTTTATTTGTGAAGCTCTACTTGCTCTTGTGTAGAAAATTGCCTTAGTAGCATTGGCCTGTTCTTTAGGATGATATGAGGAGTCACTATTTCCAGAAGAGGTTTTGATACAAGATAGGTGCTAAATGAGAGCTTCTTCAGCTTCCTCCTCCTCCTCCTCCTTCTCCTCCTTCTCTTCCTTCTCTTCTTCTTCCTCCTTTTCCACTTCTTGTTCTTCTTCTTTTTTGATATAGGGATAAAACTCAGGACCTTACACTTTCCAGGTATGTGTTACTCAGCTTCTGGGACACCATCATCCTGGACACTTGCCTGGCCTCTGTGTTTTTTGCTGCCCATAATCTCTTGCAGAGATGTCCTCTGCACTTGCTTTCTTCTCTCCTGCTCAGGATCTCATCTATTCCAGCCCAGTGGATGTATCCCGAAAGGTACTAGTCATCCTGAGGATGTTCTTGAGGAGAAATGAAGATATTCCAGTGGGTGGTCTCATCCAAGGCCACTTCCTGTTCATCCTGCAGCACCTGCTGGGAGAGCATGGGACCTCCCCCTCAGAAGGTTAGTCTGTAGGCTCCTTGGACATGTTTTGACCTGAAGGGTCAATTAAGACTAAGCAGCTCTGTCCTGGTGAGGTGTACTCTCAAGAAGAAAACAGGATTTTTGCTGAAAAGAAGTCAGGCCAGTGTGGCACTGCATGGTTGGTTGTGTTTGTATTTAAGATGAGTGGGAGTATTTGATGTATGCGTGCATGTCCCCACCCTGCACAGCATGTGCTCAGAGCTCTTTGTCACAAGAATGGCAGCCCCCAGTAGGAAGAAGCAAGTGGGGAATCTGGAGGAGGTTGGAGAGCCGGCAGGGCTCTGGGAGGAGGGTGGATAAGTGATGTATTAGACTCTTCCAGTGAGATCCAAGAGGATAATTTCCAAATCTGGAATGGAACCCCTGGAGTCAAGGAATCTTACTATTTGGAACAGTATAAAGAGAATAAAAATTGGAATTGGTTTGTCTTTTCTTATTTTTAGAAAGGCTGAAGTTTTTACTTAAATTTCTGGCCCATTAAGAAAAAGTGGAAGGCTATCTGTGGTGCATTTGGTCCAGTCCTGACTATGCTCTGGGACTTTCAAGTAGGTTAAAGGGCATCTGAAAGCATTGAGTCCTCTCCTTTGCAGGGAGAGCAAGACATTGCTCGTTGGTAGTCCTGTATTTGAACCGTAAGATTTAGTGGAAACATGGAAGGAAAGCCACGAGTGTTGGATTCAAGTCTTGGCCCTGTATCTTGGTCTATTCCAGGTAGCACAATAGAATACCACAGAGTAGGTAGCTTATAGACAAAAGAACTTTATTTCTCAGCATTCTTGAAGCTGGTTAATCTCAAATTAACATACCAGCAGATTCTATGACAGTTTAGGGTTCACTTCCTAGTTTTGCTGTGTTTCTATGCAGAAGGGGTAAGGAAAGGAGCTCTTGGGAGCTCCTTATTTATAGTGGCACTGATCCTTTCTAGAAGGGTACTCGATCTGGGGGCCAACCAGATAGCTCAGTGGACTAAAGTACCTGCTTAGGCAGAGCACAGCGGCCAGGGTTCGATCCCCGGCGCCAGTCCTGCCCCCACCCCCAGGACACGCTGAGAAGGCAATTGAGACTGGGCGTGGTGGTGCCCTCATGTAATCGCAGCTCTTGGGAGGCTGTACACAGGCGGATCACAGCAAGTTGAATCTACATAGTGAGAGCTTGTAGGCCCTGTAGACCCTGTACTAAATATATATTAAAAAAGGGTACTCATCTGTTAAGATTTTAACATGAACTTTGGAGGGGGTCACAAGCATTCAAACTATAGCACTCTGACCTTTCCTAATTCTAGGGCATGGAAGAGTAGTTATGCAGCCATTATGAACCTCAATTTCTTTTTCTTTTTCCAAATATGTGTCCAATTTATTTCATTTAACAGTACTGTCGGGCTGGCGAGATAGCTCAGTGGTCTAAAGCAACTGCTTCGGCAAGCTTAGGCAAGCATGCAGGGACCTTGGTTCGATCCCCAGCACCACATGCCACGCCAGCCTTGCCCCCAGGGTGGGCTGAGCTGACCATAAAAAAAAAAGGAACATTAAAAAAAAAAACAACAAAAAACAGTACTGTCTCAAGGGGCATCCATTCACCTAAGTATGTCCCAAGTTCACCTTTATGACTGAGTAGTAGTCCATTGCATAATAAAACCCCATCTTTTTTATCCATTCATTGGGTGATTGACCTTTGGGTTGTTTCCAAGATTTAGCTACTACAAGCTGTGCTGCTAGAAACATGGGGGTGCATGTATTGCCATGGTGTGATGCTTTTCGTACCTTTTGGGAAGATGCAGTGAAGGGAAATACCTGGGTTAGATGGGACGTCTAGTCCTAGTTTTTTTAAGAATCATCACACTAATTTCCACAGGGGCTGCACCAGTCTACACTTCACCAACAGTGGAGAAGAGTTCCTTTTTTCCTACAGCCCCACCAGTGTTTGTTATTGGTTGATGTCTTGATGATAGCTGTTTTTTTTTTTTTTTTTTTTTCTGGAGTGAGATAGAATCTCAGCATTGTTTTAATTTGAATTTCTCAAATGACCAGTGGTGTTGAACATTTTTCATGTATTTACATTTGTACTTTACTTTTATCTGAAAAGTATGTATTCATCTCAGATGTCCATTTTTGGATTGGGTTTTTTAATTTGGGGATCTGGTTCTTTTTAATTCTTTATATATTCTAGATAGTAATCCTTTGTCTAAGAAACAGCTGGCAAAGTTTTTCCCATTCTGTGGGTTGTCTTTTCACTCTGTTGGTGATTTCTTTTGCTATCTAAAAGCTTTTTAATAAGGGCTGGGGAGATAGCTCAGTAGAATAAGTGCTTGCCTGGCAAATGCAAG